AACAACAATAATTACATAATACTTATTCAAAAATTTCAATAATTATATAATGCTAATATTTGTGGATAATCTCATAAATGTAGGAACCGACAGCAAGTATAGAGTTTAACTTTTAGATTCGTTAAGAGTTTTCTTATTTGATGATAATATGACAATTAATTTAATTAATTATAAATTTTAGCTCTACAGTAGAAATATATAGCTATATAATTTATGTCCTCAATGAATTATAATTTTTCAATATATTAAAGTATCAGGAATAATGTCTTATAATTCTTATTGTGTTTTTTCATTTGCATTATTTATAAATAAAAATTGTTCTCATTTTTATTACTTTGAAAAATACTAATTTAATTCTAATTCTTAATATGAATATAAAATGTAATTAAATCGATCAGGTGATTGATCATTTACATTAAAAAAGTAATCAAATTAGGATTGGTGCAATTTTTTTACTCATCACCTTTATTGAGTAATTATTACTTAATACTCGAATTAAAGTCCTAATTAATTGTATTAAGTTAATTGTGCTCTTAACACAAACGTACTTTATAATAATAATAAAAAGTGTACTTGTGCTTAATGCAATCTACATAAATATATCTACTATATTTAATGTGAATACAAATAATTGTTGTAATAATGACAATATGTGCTTCTTTTTTAACCTAGTACATGTTAATCAATATAACTTTAATAAACTTGCTCATGAGTTCAAGAATATTCTAACTCCTGTTCAAGTTATGCAATTTGTAATTTAATAACGAGAGCAAATACTGAAGTTGTATTTTATAATCAATATAATGTCCAAAAAGGAACTACTTGTTATTTATAATAATCTTTAACTACATGTTCAGTAAGTACTAAATAACCTCCTATATTTAATTATAATTAAAGAAATCTTTATCTTATAACAATAAATTATTAATTTATGCTAATATTATATTATTTTATATTTTTCCAAATCACATTTCCATTATCCACCTTTCTTCATGCCCTTCATGCATTTGCACCCATATACCTATTTTTATCCCTTTCTCATTATATTCTCCAGTATAGGTGACTTATTTATAAATATTAAATCCTTCAATTAATTCTACCCATTTACCAATCTTTTTCTAATTACCTTCTTAGTCATATGATCCCTCACCACTATAATAAAAAAAACATTTTTTTTATTCTAATACATATTTATTCATTACATTTATTCATATTCCTTCTCATCATATTCCCTAAACATTATATTCCATTTCCCTACCTTCATACCATTCTAATTATATTCACCAATATAAATGACTTAAGCATTATACTAAAAATTTTCATATAATTCCATCCACCTTCCAATCTTTTTTTAATTACCTACTTAGTCGTATGATCCGCCACCGCTTTGCACAAAGTCACATATTATTATTTCTAATATATACATTTATATGTATTCTCCATTTAGCATTCTGTCATACATAATATCCCAACTTCCAACCTTCTTACCTTTCATATTATATTAACCATTATAAGTGACCTTTTTATCCTTATAAAACACCTCATCCGGTTCAATCCATTTGCCTTATTTTAAGCCAGCATTGTTGTATAATCCGCCACCACTAAACACAAACGCCTATTTTATATAATATTTACATTTATTTAAATGGATCAAAACTAGATTCTTAATACATAATATCCCATCTACCTACCTTCATGCCTTTAATATTATATTCTCCTTCCTAAGTGAATTGTTTATCTTTTTAAAAACCATCCAGGTCAATCCATTTACCTTACTTTAAGCCATCTTAGTTGTAGAACCCTCCACCACTAAACACACATCAAACAAGCATGTTATGATATTCCTTTACTTATATCATATTTACATTTATTTAAATGGATCATAAATACCATTCTTATTATAATCATCTTCATAAATGATTTATTTCTATATTTATAACCCTTCATCTGATTCATACCAGTTTACATATTTTTTACCCTCTTTGATGTAGAACTCACAATCACTAAAATTAAATATATTAATTACATCTTCTCGTCACACCAAATATAATTCCAAAAACCCCTTTTCTAGCCATAATGATATCCTCCAGTTTCAAAAACTTTTACCTTACTAATTTTAAGTTTTAAACAATACTTACTCACAATAATTTAGTTATAGATCCTTCCATAATCCTTACTTTTATCCATCTTTATAGTATCCACCAACATTTTCTAAGATTTTTTTGTCCCAATATGCAACCCATTTACCAACTTTCTTTTTTTTCCTACAGTATTAACCTTACCAAGAAAGTTTATATATTTAATCTGTATTATTAAACGTTTCCTGGTAATTGAAGACACCAAGAATTTATTCGCTTTTTTAACTAATTATTGATATATACACTCTCAAAATCGCCCCATCTTTTGAATATATGACTTAATTATCTTTAGTTAATTAGATTAAAATTTTTATTTTCTCTAACCTTTTTTTACTTTCATTATAATAGTCAATTTCTTTTTCTCGACTTAATTCTTCCTATTATAAGCCCCTCAATAGATCATCATTTGAAAAATTCATTTTGCAAAAATTAATTAAATTTATATTATTTTGCAAATGCTTAAAAAATTTTTTTTTTTTTTAAATGAGATGATACTTTCATTTCAAACTTATAACTCACAAACAAATATGAAAAATTAAAGTAATTGCCTACCAATTTATGTCATTTGAAGTAGAATTTCAAATAAAAAATTCAAAAAGTTCTACAGGCTTACAAACAAGAATTTAATGAGGTGGAAATGTTCATAAATTGAAAAAACGATATCTTTATAGAATAATCGTATTAAAATTAAAAATTATATGTAATATAATTTTATCTGAAATTTCATAAAATATTTGCTTTAACTAAGAATTCCTTATATATTTTGTATTTTATTTAAGATTTCTAAACTAATTAATTTTAATTTAGAGATTTTTTATGTAATTTATTTACTTTTTTTATTTTTGTATAAATTAATTGATATTTAACTTTGTCCTTTATCTGTTCCATTGCATTCTATTGTTGCTGATTTTTTAGGGTATTAAGTTCATATTCCAGATATATTCTAAAAGGTTGTTACCATTTTTGGATAACTACGGAGCTTTTCAAAAATACAAATCACTTCATAAAAACACTTGTGCCAATTTAGATGTCGAAAATTAGATGCATCGAAAATGAAAAATGCCAATTAAGATTAAAAATTTAAACAGTTAATGAAAAAT